GGATCGCAGAACAGATGTCCGCACATTTTGCGTTGATTACGCACTTTACTCAACGTCTTCGTTTTATTCCATTATTCGACAAATTTATGCCGAATCTGGGCATTGCCTTCGATTTAATGCAGGTGGGTTTGCAAGACGTAAATTAGACGGTCACCTAATTAACTAGCAGGTTATATATATAAAAGGTACATAGGATTTCGTAATTTATGAATAAAAGAGCTTTAATTATCCCTGAAATTACTTACCAGGAAAATAGGCTTATGACTACAAAACTGCAAATCAATTGCAACTTGTTTGTAGGTATGAAGATTAAGATTTTTTGATCTTACATTTGGTTGCTGTTTCCTGTAGCTATGTTTTGAATTGACCTCGTTTACGCAACTTGTTCTGGGGAGTTGAATAAGTTATGTATATTACTCAGTCATCCGTCATCTGCTACAGTTTTCGTTATAATTTCTAACACCGGACCACTGACATACTATATTCTTCGACATTTAGCTTGCATCTTCAGTGGGAGGTACCAGCCATAGTAACGAATAAGGACAATCGTATTGATCAATTTTCTGTTCTACCGTTTTTGCACCGGTCACCCTGTCATAGCTCCTAGCGCTGTGTCTTCACTCCTTAACTCTATTTCATAACCAATTTATCTATCTACATCTCTCCATGTCTTCGTTCGTTTGTATGCCTGCCAAGCATGATCAAATTTACTGCCTGTTTCAGGTGCCACTTGCAGGGTGCAATCAGCGCCTTTACTTAGCTATCTACTCCACCCTGTAAGACCACCGACATCATTCGTACTAATTAAGATATAATAAAAAGGTATGCCACTGAGTCTAATAGTTCACAAGTACGGAGCAATGCACAAACCAACGAAATCCATCTGCTTTAAATTAAGAAGAAAGTTTACAATATATTGTTGATTATCCTGAAGGCTGCATATAAGTCCTCTCAAAGGATCAAGGACATGAGGCTTGTAGATATGGAGCCTTTTTTGGGCTTTAATGTGCATTACATGCACTCTAATATCTCGAGAGGGAAGGAGCTATTGGCACTGTTAAGATCGTGGAAAGGGAAGAAGATATCCTTCAAGCACATCAGATCAAGATGAGGTCTTTGATATGATTCATCAACCTTATTTCAAATTTAACTATCACATATTTGAGCGGATATTTGGTCTACCTATTGGCTCACCCCTTTCCCCCTTTCCAAATAAAGAAATGGGGGAGACACGCAGGGTACCATCATTACTGCTTCGATTAATCCTGCTACTTCTGGATGACTATTTTTAACATGGTCAAGCGGTGAAGAAAATTTGGAGGCTTTCTTGAGGCTTCTAAATCAGATTGATGAAAGTGTTAAATTCACAATGGAGTTGCAAGACGACTGGATAATACAATTGCTGGATGTAGAGATGTGGCTTGCTCAAATGGAAACCTCAAGAGATTGTTTTAATTAAAGAAATCTCATGGCGGGATAATCGCCAATCCATAGGAGATTAGTAAGTGGCAGGATGATTGACAGTGCTTTTTATTGTTTAAACAAACCTGGAGAAACTCGTATTTCAGCAAATAGGAAGCATCTGGTTCTGCGAAATAACCCAAGGCGAGAAAGCGTCACCACAAAGAAGGGGATTTTGATGGACAAATGGAAGTCAAGAGAAGACGATTGCGTATAGATTAGTCAAACGTAGTATTAGCCTCAAAATTTCCTGGGATGTTTCCACTTGGAGATAGGTTAAATTTGGAAATAATAAATGCGGCATGTAGATCTATTCCTAATTCATTTAGGTGTTGCAGCGGAGGTGGGACGCACAATATCAGTTGGACCCCACTTCGTTAGGTGTATTTCTACGTCAGTAGTGATGCAAAGGTATTTAATTTTCAATATACATTCGCTGAAAGTGACTGCAATTGAGTGCCCATAGACAACCAATTGGATAACACATTGAGAAATGTAGATAAGTAAATTGGCCCTATTAAGGTGAGTTGAGGGAGGATGCAGCGTTAGGAGCTAAGACAGGGAGAAGGGGAGATTTCACAATGATTGAACAGAAAATTGAATAAGAATATTATCTTCGCTTCTACTTCTGATGCCTTGTTACTTTATACCAAGGATGGCGTCTATAACTAACGCTGCTAGCTAACGTTTAGAGATTCACCATGCCAACGGACGGAAATTACCATGACTATTATGACGGGGGGCTCAGGACTGGGTACGTCCCACAAAGTCTTCCTTCCGCCCAACCATGTTGCATAAAAATGGTACAATAAACAAAATTCAATTTTATCTTCGTTTTCATTAAGCTTTCATTCTTTATGCCCTGTTCTTTTCCTCTCTCAGGTTCGGTTCAACGATCTTGGCCGTCTCGCTTTTTTTACCCCATATTATAAGTACGTTTTCAGTCGTTCTTGGATTACTTGTCGCAATGATGTGGTTGGTCGAACCTGGCGTGACTTCCAAACAGGCAATCATCAGACAAATATGACTTCCACTACCTCAGAAGTCGCTCGTCCCTACATAAATCCAGAAGAACAATGGCCTGACTTTATGGAGCACGCAGCCAGGGTGATGGCCAGCATTCCACGCTGTGCTGATTCTTCGGATTAATCCTCACCTTTACATCTGTTCCCCTCCTCCATCAACGAATACATACTTTGAACTAATTTTCATGAAGTATAGGACGCGGCGAGGTGTCAGATTTCAATTAATATCTCTGCAACTTCCTGTTCGCACTCAGAGGTTTTAGCTTCGAATTAATCACCTAGATGCAGGGGGAGTGCGAATAACGCTTCGAGGAGCACAGATAGGGTGGCAGGGGTTGAGTGAAATATGTGAATCAGGGAGAGAGTAGACAGATTTTACGGGGCAGGAGAGAGCCTGTGATAAGACCTAGGGAAGGAGGACTGCGTAACAATATGGCAGACTGATCAACATTTTCAGCACAAAGGTGAAGGGGGTGAGAACGACAGCGTGGAGTGTGAATGGTTTTCAGGAAAGCCGCTCAAAGGAGCACACCACACTAGATCGAAATAGGGACAGAAAAAATTGAAAAAGGGAAAGCGTGATAGGAGTATATAGAAAATGTGAATAGCCCAGGGCAGAAGGGGAGATACCACAATTGCTTAGCACACGTTTGGTCAAAGGATCGGCTTCACCTGTCTCTTTGACGAGTTGTTGAATGGTGCTAAGAATGGCGAGACTCACTGACGATGCCGGCGAAACGTCTGGGAATGTACCACGTCAACGGTCCTATTTTGGAAATGATGATGCATACAATGAACTCCGAACTAGGTGCGTTTCTCTAAGTCTTCCTACCAATACGACCGAGTTGCGAAAACAAGGTCAAACAACTTCTATACAACGAAAGGAGACTGCGACCACACAAAAGGCC